GCTGAAAATGAGTGAAACTTATCATTTTTTTCTATAATACATTATTAACATTTCTCAAGACGTGGACCCAAAACAACTAAATTCCAACATAGAAAAGCTATTTGATAGGGGTCACATATTTTTACAATGTACATGTAAGGAATAATGTAAAGCTCCTGGATTCAACTGTACGCATTGGTCAACATGGCAAAAAATTTGTGGTTTACTAAAATGAATATGATAATAGTCAAACTTTCATCATTTAAACTTATAATTATCCACACAAGACAGACTCATATAACATGGAACCACGGATTTATATTACAAGGATCGGACACTTTCGTTTAGCTTAAAGTCCCGTCGCGCGCATGCGCGGAATCGGATAAAGGTTGACAGAATGAGATGGCGGAACGTGCGGAGTACGAAATATGACAGATTTTCACCGGAGTATGTGGTGTTATTGCAGCTTTGTGAAAAATTATACACATACGAATGTATTGATACAGTATTATTTTGTGTCGCTAAAGTATTATGATATGAAAATATGCTGATAGAACGCTGCAACGCTTAGTTAAAAAGTACCTAATTAAAAAAAATATTCGCCTATTGTTTAGGCATACTCTCCACACTTCGCCGCCCTTTTACTTCAAGCACGAATTATTACCGCGATTCTGAATAAGATAATTATTTTTTACATGGTTTAATGATGGCATTGCAAAAAAAAGTTTCTTTGTTGCTAAAAAACTTTTAAAGAAATTCATGTTTGAAATGTGTCTTTATTTCTGTGAATTATTCCCAAATGATTTGTACATTTTTTATTTGATTTACCTGTATAATTTATTAGTATAAATATAGTAAATATTCTACTAATAAGTGTATTAAATATATTTTCAGATCATTCTAGACAAGCATTCCTATATAGATGAATTCATTAGATTGGCAAGGAAGAAACTTTTATTGGCATAGAGAACAGCTGTTTTATAATATCATTTTTTATTTTGAAACATAATTTTTTCATAGATATCCTAAACAATTCACGTCAAATGATTTATTTATCACATGTTTATTTTCATTATTTTTCAGAGAAAGGAATATACAAATTTAGTTGTATATTTTCAATTTCATTTATAAATGTTAATAAAGAAAATAGATTTACATTGTATTTATATATATATCCTCTTCAGAATAATTTTCTTACCACATATGCCATGGACTGTAGTTAAAGACCGCGCATATACAAAATATGCATTCAAATTATATTTGTTTTTGACAATTATCACATGTAACCTTGTAATGAAAGTTTTGGAAATAAAGTTTTTTAATTATCACTTACCCCCCTTCAAACGTAATTAAACTTGAAAGATGTGTAAAAAATAATCAACAGGTGCACGACAAGATATTTAAGCATTTATATAGGGTTAACTGGGAGTGTCCGATCCCTGTAATATAAATCCGTGATGGAACAGATATGTGGAATAGATAATTATTATAAATATAGATCTACATGTATATAATATATATTCCAAATATTAACACAAATAAAAAAGGTAAAGAGGGCCTAGTTGACCAAAGCAGAGTTTATACAAGGCTGATATGATTTGAGGACCTAGTTAATTTTAGGTCCAAGCTGACCTGATTGAGCACTTTACAATACACCCCGACACAGTTTCTGCCTGCAAAAGATGCAAGCTATCTAGGTTAATACATTTTCTCCTTTATATAATAATAAAATAAACATTGAACATTTGATAAAATTGACTTTAAATGCATAAAATGTTCTTATAAGACAACTATGTTTATGATCACATGAAACAAAATATGTGTAAGCTTTATACCTGTACCAAGCTTGGTATTTACTGCAAAACAAGCTGGAACATACGATAGTACATCCCAGAAAACAAGGCATGCCTGATTTTCCCCTGTGCCTGTGGGTTTTCCCATACGGAACAAAGTTAATAAAACCGCAATTTAAATTTTCGCACTGCACATACAGATATCCACCAAGTCCCTTCTTAATTACCTTTTGTACACTGTATAACGTCAGTGGAACCGGTCCTAACCTGCACGATTTGCAAAACTTCAAATATTTTTTCAACAAGAAGTTGAGAACACCTAGTTCAATGATTCGCCGCCCGATTTTCCACTGTTGCGTAAGATTCTGGTCACTAAAACACTTCAGCAGAATTACCACTTTGCACAGAATTGTCCGTTACATAATTATGTTTAATTAAAATCCTTTCAAACTCTTAATTTTTAACGTTATTTGTTTTTTGACGTACCGGCCACGATAGTTTCGCAAGGGAAGCGGCCATATTGCTTCCTGTGAAAACTGACGTCACAGTCGCTAAAAATAGGTTATACGATAAGTGGCGACAAAAGGCGAGGGTAGCTTCGGGCCTTCTACGACGTTTCACGATTTTACCCGATATTTACCGATTTATTAGGGTCCGTAATCCTTAAAGTTCAAGCTCTTGTGCTTCTTACGTCGGGAGGAAGCGTCATTGACGTTGTGAGACGTTTAACTGCCATCGCAATCTGCGACAGCATTTTCAGCAGCAATCTGGAAGCGTAAGAGATACGTTCATTCACGTAGGCAAAAGATGACGACTGCACGTCAAGACCGGCCTTTAACGCATCTACGTAACTGGCATAAGTTTTGCGAGATAATTTGGCATATCTAGATAAATCGTGAGCAAGAATGCAAACCCAATCTGGGCAAGCGGCTGTACATAGGCCAGGCTATTAATCCTCGTAACTGTAATCTTCGGAGACACTGGGCTTTAGTCATTTACGTTGGACTTTTGCAAGAGTATTGTTTAGTGACGAATCACGTTCTAATCTTAGCATTGCAGGTGGTCGAGTACACGTTTTTTTTGCTGTCGAGGCGAGCGATAATTGCTCATTGGAGCGGAATCGAGTTAGTGGAGGCAGGCGGCTAATGGGTGAAAAGGAAAACAAATTTAGTCGTCATTTCAAATGAACTGAATGTTTGAAGTTATACATGTATTGACACTGTCCTCTATCCAGTGGTTGTACCTTTTCTGCGTCAGCATCAAAATTTACTGATGCACAATATTGCTGGAGTCACACTGCTGGATTCATGCATAATAACCTCGGTAGACACAACGTTAACGTGCTACCATGGCCGGCTTGCAATATTTTATTATTCCTCCAATACACAATACATGTAAATATGAGGTAAATAACAAATTACAAATGTTCACCGTACATAAATCCCATTGAGCACATACGGAAAACTCTTGGACGGAGGGCAAGAAAAATCAAGTTATTAATAACATTCCTGACCTTACACTTGCCTTTGTCCAAGAATGGAACGCTATTCGAAAATACGTCATTCGACATAACATAAGATCAATGTGGTTGACAATCATTGCTTTGATTCATAGGAGAGGTGATGCAATTGGTACTGAAGAAATTGAAACACATTTACAGACAAACTGACAATGTAAAATATGTGAATCTCAAATTACATGAAAAATTCATTTAACATGAAAAAAACAGCGTCGTTTATCTAAGACTGATAGGAAACAATGCATCATGTTGGAGGATGACTATCCCAAATTATTTAAATAAATGTTTTTCTTTTTTTAAATAGCCTAAAAAAGTAAAACCCAACTGCACAGTTTCTTCTTTTCATCAGTATATTATAGCATAGGCGTCAAAATTGACTCTGTCCTTCGGTTGGATAGTGTTCTAGATTGCCTTGAAAAATTGTATTTTAGTTATTTTCAGTTAAACTATGCTCTGAATCTAAATTACTGGTGAATATAAGGCATTTGAGTGTCAAGACAGCTTATTTCAAATGCCATTGAGCCACAACAATTGCATGATAGATCTCGGTGAAAAATCCGAAACACATAGCCATATGCTTTACTTCATAAGTGAATAAGTTGATGAAAAACTTTAAAGTGTAAAAGATTTTCCATTCAAGGCTTATTTTTAGATTCCAAAAAAAATCTTATGAACAAAAACATTTCAGAAATACTTTCATTCAAAGGACTTCTGATTTTTTGGACAAGACAAAACTAGAAGTATTTTTTTAGATTAATTTCCCGTTTAATGTAGATCAAGACCAATAGCTTTTGTGCATTCTCCACTTTCTCCAGGAAAATTATTTTGTGAAAATGATCCAAAATTGGGCTATGAATAGCTCAAAAATATGATTTTCAATTACTTTCTTATTATTTTTTTTATTCACCTTTTGCATATCTTTCTGTTTAAAATGCCCGACTGATCTATGTTAAATATACAAAATTTAATGTTATGTTTTTAAAATTTAGGTTTTTTGAACCTCAGTGGAGTTCCTTTAATTCATAACAGCTTATAATGGGATGGATATAATCTGTTTACAAAGGGTTGGCATAAAGCTCATATAAAATACAATCATATATCATTCAATATTTATTCTTGCTACAATAACAACAAGACATGATCATTTTGTATAACCAATATAGTTACATAAAACACTTTAAATTTCTCTGATTGTCCACATATCTGTTTCAAATCAATCAGAATATTTTTAAACATAAATGAAAATTCTGTCACTATAAATGTTCACCACATTCTTAACATAAACTGGTCACATTTTGTTTGTTGGATTTAAAGTCACATCAACCCTGCTAAAGAAGCAGTCTCCCAGTTTTATGATAACGTTCATAACATTTTTTACAACTGTACAAAATTAGGAAAACATTTGTCAAGTGTATACATTAAGTTTTAACTTCTAGGAAAAGCAGCACAAAATTTTTGCAGTAACATTCAGTACACTGTATTTTGAATGTCCTGAAACGACACTTATAACACTTATGGGTATATTTATATTAAACACAAGTGTGAGATATATATGTTTACCCATGACAACATGATTGCGTATCAAGAGAAAACTGTAACAAATAAAACATATGAAAACTTTCAGAGATAACCGTCTGATACATCACTATGGTAACCAAACAGACACAGTAGTTTGTTGTTGTTGTTTTTGTTTTTTTCATATTCTGTACATTGTTTGATATCCAAAACTGTCTTTTAAGTTGAATAATCATCAAAACACGATTTTACTCTGGTCCTTTTTAGTATTGAAAGTTGGCCAGCCATCACTTCTTCTTATATTCATAACACCCTGTGCTGGCGCCCTGAAATTCAATGAGAATAACAAATTATTTATCCATAAAAAGGTTTGCAAAACTATTAGCTTTCTCATATAAATCTTGTATAAATGATATAATTGACAAATAAATGCATAAATCTTAAAATATGAAAGTGACTGGAGCTAAGAACCAAAGCATCATTATCATACATGTTACAGTAATAATACTGTCCAACCTGTTTGAATGTAACCTTGACCTCTGACCTTGAATCTTTGACCTTTCGGCCAGGTCAACCAACTATCTCATCTGATTAGATCACAGTCAAAATATGTTTATAATTATGTTTAATAAAAAAAATGCTGTCTGTTTTATTTTTTTAGTTTTTTTTCCTTGAAAGACTAATTTCATTTGAGTTTTATGTCATATAAGGTAGGAAAGGTCATGCAGCAATTGTGCCATCTTGTGTTGATGAGAATGTATAGGCTGATCTGGCTCTATAATGGTAACAAAAATTCTGTTAGTCATCATCACCTCAAGGCTTTTATTAACTCAAAAAGGTTTCCCACAAATTCTCTAAGCTGTTTCCCTTATAATGTAAATTATACTAATAATGTATTAAATGTATGTAAGATTCTCAGTTGATAGACAAATACAACTCATCAAAACTTAACCAACACTTGTCTTCTGTGAATCATTTCAGGCACGAACGGGCACCCAAGTATAATCACCGACCTTCCATAAGATAACTAGATAGCTTCCTCACATGAAAGAATCAAAAGTCCCTGTCGGGATTCAAACCCCACAACAGTGAGGGGCAAGTGGTTTGATGTCAATGACCTTAACCACTTGGCCACGGACACCCCCTAGGTATCACTTAAAGTGCAAATATGATAATACAGCAAATAAATGTCAATCACAGTTAAGTTATTTTGAGAATTGAATATAAAACAAATAAGCAAAATCAAGTTAAGGTATATAAGTTTGGTAGACAGACGGTTCACACCAACATGATTCACTCCCAACCATCTTGGGAGTGAAACGTATCAATAGTGAAATGTCTTGGGAGTGAAACATCTGGCATTCTTTAAGTCTACAGAAGTAATGATTTAGATATGATATTAATACATTTATCAGTTAAAGCTGCATGCATCCAGATGAGCCAAAATATTTTAACTTGAGAAAAATGTACTAAGATTTTAAGAAATTTTAGAAGAACTATTTGAGATTTAAATAATAATTCACATGTCATATATGATAAATGACTGATTTTGCAGTATTTATTACCATATGTCTACAAATGACTAAGTAAGGGCTAATTTTTAATATTTTGACCTCTTTTTGGTAATCTTAGTGGATCTTAATTGATTTTTGCAATATGAAAATTACTTTCTTAGTTAACTTTATAACATTTCACATTTAGACATATTTTCAAAAGTTTCATGAAAATTATCATGAATCTGGAGGCATGTTGCTTTAATGTGTGACTATAATACAGGTTAATAATTTGTTACATTGTACCTTGTTAATAGCTAAATAATTATACATTTGTATGTTCAATAAAAACTAAAATACATGAACTAAAGTGTGTGTAATATGAATAATCAAAGTGCACAAAGTTCATGATCAAACATTTATAATCCAACTTCCAAAAAAATTCTTACAGTTTATTATTAGTTCATAGATTTAAGATATTAGTAACAAAATTGATTTCCTTTACATTCAAGACTCCCCTTTCACCAGTCCATTTTCAAAACCACAAAACTCTAAAAATCTTCAGTAGCAGCTGTATAAGTGCAGTCCAATCAGACTCATTTCTGACCTTTGACCTTTCAAAACATGATTTTCACATTTTGGTGAATTTAAGAGAAACCAAACAAAATTTTTTTTTAGTAGATCTCTGTGACTTCTTATGATGCATATAAAGATAAAAACAAAGGCCTGTTTAGCATCAAGCATACAGTATGATATTTAATGGGGGATGCTTTTGCAAAGTTCACAAAGAAACTGAAGTGTTCCCTATGCAACAAAAGAATACATGTGACGTCATTTACAACCTTAGAGTTCATGTAAATGTACATGCACTTTTGAACTATACCAAAAAGTATAAAAGAACTATTGAAACATTTGCAAAGCTAAGTGTTGTACTAAAAATATTTTATAAATTTGAAATAGGGAGACACATGATAAGATCTGGTTCAGAAATAGAGAGGTGGACAATCATTCACAAGATCTAATGACTGGAAATCATGGGTACAACACTGAACAAAAGCCTTTCTATGAAATAAAATATATCTAACTACCAAGAAGAACTAAAACACCTATTCATCAATGTCACATAGATGCTTAGCGCATAAATGTGTTCAATCATTTGAAAATAATAACAGAAGTTCATGCATATTTAACTGTGCAACATACTCTATTCATCTGCAATTAAAATCTCTTAGAGACATTCACAAACAAATCTTGAATATATTTAATCAGCAATATAAAATTCATAGACATTCACAAGCAAATCAAGAACATTCATCTGCAAATTAAAATCTCAAAGACATTCACAGGCAAATCTAGAATATTCATCTGCAAATTAAAATCTCAAAGACATCTACAAGCAAAACTTAATCTTGGATATATTCATCTGCAAATTAAAATCTCAAACGCTTAAATAAGCAAATCTTGAATGTATTCATCTGCAATCAAAATCTCAGACATGCACTGACAAATCTTAAATAAATCCATATGCAAATTAAAACAACAATGCCATCTAAAGACAATTCTTGAAAAGAACCTATGAATTAAAATCTTAAGACGTCCACACTGGGCGGCAAGTAAAATATCCATTCAAAAGAAAATCTCATAAATTTGCAACCAAATAATAAATAAATAATTCAATTTGAAATCAAAATTTTGTAGATATCAACAGGTAAATCTTGAACATCTGTTTCAAAAAATTTTGTACACATCTAAAAGCAAATCTTGAAAACATGCATCCATCTGCAAACAAGATTTCACAGAAATGTACATTCAAATCGCAAAAACGTCTGCATGCAAACTTTAAAGCATCTACCAAGAAACCAACTACAAACATCATCATAAATAACTTCAATTATAAAAAACTCCAACCCACTCTGAAAACCTTGTAAGACAGGGGGTAATAAGTCTGACTAGGGGCGGTACAATTCTGTTAAACAGTAACTCAAAATCTCAAGACAATAAAAATCGTAAATAACAACTACAGACAAAGATTTAAATGCTCTTTAGTACAAACAGCTCCTACAAACAAACAAAACAAGTAACTACAAGCAAAAAGTTACATCTACAAGCAAAGTTTAAAATATATATCTATAAATAATCTTAAATAAATCTACAAGCAACATAAGAACAATCTACAAGCAAAGTTTAAAAATATATCTATAAAAAAACTTATATACAATGTATATTTAATATACTGTAAGCAACATCATATAAATCTACAAGCAAAGTTGAAAAGAAATTTACAAGCATTATTTATCAGTCAACAAATACAATTTCAAATCATTCTTAAATAATATTTTTAGAAACAAGATTTCTGGGCAGCCAAAAATAGAATTACTCCGGAAAAGAATATTTTCGGTTTTTCCCAGCTAATCCGGCGGTACAAACGAACTTTTACAGTTACAACTTCGAAAATAAGCGCATCAGGTTGACTAATCTATAATTATAGCAGTAAAAGTTTGTTTGTACCGGGGGATAAGAATGGAAAAAACACACATTTGCCGAGTTCCGGATAACATCTATTGCACAAGCAAACATGAGGAATACTGAATACATCTATAAGAAAATGTATGAGCCGTGCCATGACAAAACCAACATAATGGGTTTGCGACCAGCATGGATCCAGACCAGCCTGCTCATCCGCACACACAGTCGGGATCCATGCTGTTCGCTTACTAACCCTATTACAAGTAGAGAAACTGTTAGCGAACAGCATGGATCCTGATCAGACTGCGGGGATGCGCAGGGCCAGGTCTGAATCCATGCTGGTCACAAACGCAAACGCACTATGTTGGTTTTGTCATGGCACGGCTCAAGTATGTCATTCTTTACTAACAGTTTAGGATAAGCAAGTATGTATAATGTCATACAAAGCAGGTCTTTGCACAACAAATGCTTATATTACCTTTAACATGCTCAAAACCTGTAAAAATGTGTGAATAGAGAAATCAACTAAATAATACAAAACCATCATAATAAATCTATCATTGCTGGACAATATTTCCATACTATGTTGTTCTTTATTGTTTACTACAATATATTTCTAAGGTTAAAGGCAACATGAAACTGTGTCTATAGAAAATGCAGTCTATTTTTGCTCAAATGTTACAATGGGATAATTGTAGATCAATGGAGGTCAAATTTTCAAATTTTTTAAGTATAAACTCTGCTTAGCATCATCCTTTGGGTGGCAAAAAAATTGGTTGTTGTTTACAGGTGTCACTCTTGAGAGGTTAAAATCTACTGTGAAGTCTTACTTTCCAAAAAAATTTAACAAATTTTGTTAATAGTTAGATGTTCTAACGTGGACCCTTCTGCTGAGTTTGCACTGTAGGAAGATAGGGAACCATTCTCAGGTTGACTTGCAGACTGGTTTTTAAATTATTTGTACCTGTCTAAGGGGATTCATGCAAAAATTGTCTAAACAGAGAACTTTTAAAGCAGCCACACACCAAAAAAACCCTTAAAGGGTGGTAACTCTTAACTATAACAATTCATTGTGTAAATTTTATTAAACAGAGAATGATGCCCTCTGTGTCATAGCTTAGATACAAACAACATATTCAATATTCACTCTTGAACACAACAGTAAATAACGTTTATGGGCAAATTTCTAAAATTCTGAGCCCTTCACTAAAAGTCTTCAAGGATTAACCCTCAATCGGCTGTAACTTATGGTGGCTGATTTACGCCATATCCTATATTCGCTAATCTTCGCTTAAAAATGCCAAAATGCTAAAACACGAAGGGAAGACAAAGTTGGACATTATCGTCTCTTCATATTTCCGGTTTTTTTTTTGATTTTCCAGGCAAAAAAAGCGAAAATATGATAGAAGGATGGCTAAAATACGACGCATGAAATCTGTCGTATATTCCAATTCATCTGAAAATATACGGTAATTTCTAAACAGTTGGTCCACCAAACCAGCTATTCTGTATAACTAACCAGTTATTACCGATTCCTCCCCAAGTGACAGACTACTAATCCCATATCAATTCTGAATCAGTAATGAGACACAAACGACCATTAAACTCAATGCCCAACATCAATTATCACGGAAAAATTTCTCACTGCTCGACAATCAAACTTGCGACCCCTGTATTACAATTCCATACTCTCCCTATTGAGCCACATTTTAAGATGGTGGACAAAAAAAAAATCTGTAAATACAATATTTAACAAAAATACTAGCTAAGCTATTGTAACATCATAATTCTAATAAATAATCTTAAATTCCCCCCCTCTTTCCCCCAAAACCTTCATGCTATTAGAGTTAACCCTTGACCTGCTGAATTTGTATAATGGACTTGCTCGGCATTTGATCTGGAACAGTCCATTTGAAATTCATAGAATTTCAATTATCAAAATGCAAAAAATAAAGCTACCAACGATACAGAGCCAGGTCGGACTGCAGGGATGTGTGCAAACTGGCCTGGCTCTATACTGGTGGCAAAGGTTGATCACATTTGGTTCAAGCAGGTTAAGAGTTAAGTGCAGATGTCCAAAACTTGCCTCCAATTTCTAAAAATGTCCATGCTAATGAAAAGCTCTTTTTTACAGTAACGGCTGTAAAACAAAACAACAACAACATCAAGAACCAGAAGCGGAATGCTGCTCAAATATGCTTGATTTTTTTATATTTCTTTACAAAATGTCACATTGATTCTAACCTTAGGGAATACTTGGTATTGCCCTTATAACTCCCCTTAGACACAAAATACATAGACTATACCAACAGTATTCAAATGTTGATGCTGCAGTTTCTAATTAAAATACACATACACCAAAATTGTGCCCTGAAAACAACTAACAATTCATGTGACAAATTGTACAAACTTACATTTTATTGGTCATTCAACTGTAAAATTTATAGAAAAAAATGAGAAAGGAAACCAAATGAACATACATATATAGCTTATAGATAATTATTTTAACGATAATAATTTAAAATACAGAATACAAGAGGGCCATGATGGCCCTGGGGTCGCTCACCTGAACATAGGCCCCCAGGGCCGGGCCAGTTTAAACCAAAGGGCTTTTATTTGAACAAACTTGGAAGACACCCATTAAAAGATATTTCATGATGTTAAGTTTTTACTATACACAAATAATGAATAACAACGACTTTTGCCCCCTCCCCCCTCTCCCTGGCAGGGCCAATTTTGACCCAAGGGCTTTTATTTGAACAAAACTTGGTAAACATCCATTAGAACATGTTTCATGCTAAATATCTTAGCTCTAGCACTTTTGGTTCTTTTAATAGAAGATTTTTAACTTTTTTAACTCTATGTATATAGGGGAAAATCAATAACCCCTGGGACAGGGCCAATTTTGACCCCAGGGCTTTTATTTGAACAAATTTGGTAGACACCCATTAGAATATGTTTCATGCTAAATATCTTAGCCCTAGCTCTTTGGGTTCTTTAAAAGAATTTTTTTTAAGTTTTTACTATATGCAATAGGGAAAATCAATGACCCCCTGGGGCGGGCCAATTTTGACCCCAGGGCTTTTATTTGAACAAACTTGGTAGACACTGATAAGAAGATGTTTCATGCTTAATATCTTAGCTCTAGCTCTATGGGTTCTTTAAGAGAAGATTTTTTAAGTTTTTACTATATGCATATAGGGAAATCAATGACCCCCTGGGGCTGGGCCAATTTTGACCCCAGGGCTTTTATTTGAACAAACTTGGTAGACATCCATTAGAACATGTTTTACACCAAATATCTAAGCTCTAGCTCTTTGGGTTTTTTAGAAGAAGACTTTTTTAAGTTTTTACAATATGCTTATAGGGAAAATCAATGACCCCTGGGGCGGGGCCAATTTTGACCCAGGGCTTTTATTTGAACAATCTTGGTAGACACTTATTAGAAGATGTTTCATGCTTAATATTTTAGGTCTAGCTCTTTGGGTTCTTTAAAAGAAGATTTTTTAAGTTTTTACCCTATATGCATATAGGAAAAATCCAATGACCCCTGGGGCGGGGCCAAATTTTTGACCCCAGGGCTTTTATTTGAACAATCTTGGTAGAACTTATTAGAAGATGTTTCATGCTTAATATCTTAGGTCTAGCTCTTTGGTTCTTTAAAAGAAGGTTTTTTTTTAAGTTTTTACTATATGCATATAGGGAAAATCAATGACCCCCTGGGCGGGGCCAATTTTGACCCAAGGGCTTTTATTTGAACAAACTTGGTAGACATCCATTAGAACATATTAATGCCAAATATCTAAGCTCTTAGCTCTTTGGGTTTTTTAGAAGAAGATTTTTTTAAGTTTTTACTATATGCATATAAGGAAAATCAATGACCCCCTGGGACTAGGGGCCAATTTTTGACCCCAGGGCTTTTATTTGAACAATCTTTGGTAGACACTCATTACAAGATGTTTCATGCTTAATATCTTAGGTCTAGCTCTTTGGGTTCTTTAAAAGAAGATTTTTTTTAAGTTTTTACTATATGCCATATTAGGGAAAATCAATGACCCCTGGGGGCAGGGCCAATTTTTGACCCCAGGGCTTTTATTTGAACATCTTGGTAGACACTCACTAGAAGATGTTTCATATTTAAAATCTAAGCTCTGCTTCTTTGGGTTTTCTAGGAAGAAGTGTTTAAAGTTTTTTTTTTGGTTGCCATGAACCAGAGTTCTGCATGGAATGGAATTCTTTGAACAAACTTTGTTAAGGCTTCACCACAAGGAACATCCCTGTGAAGTTTCATTATGATCTGCCTTATGGTTTCAGAGGAGATGTCGTTTGAAAAGTGTGAACGGACAACGTACGACGGACGACGGACGACAGACGACGGACGAAGAGTGATCCTAATAGCTCACCCTGAGCATATGCTCAGGTGAGCTAATAAAGCATAACTGAGGGCTCTGAGCTCTGTTAATCGTCACACCAAATATGAACTAGCATTGTGCGCTTAACATACACCTTAGTTATTACCCACAATATGACATGGGACATGGAAATTTGCATAGAATGGCAGACAAAAAAAATAAGACACATCACTAGGTGATAGAGTCCCGACAAAACAGCACTTTTGTGAAAATTTAACGATACAAAATGTAAGAAAATGTAACATTTTATTTTTAGTATCAATGACCTTGACAACTCCAGCCTAAAATTGAGGAATAAGTACATTCCCAATATGGAAAACATCACTCCATGAATGAATGTTGTATGGGCAATAGTGTAAAAATCTATTTTAAGCACCAGTGACCTTGACCTTAATCCAAATGACCCCCAAACTCCACCAACCATATTAGGTATCTCCCTATTCAATATTTAAGACATTTATCAATATATGAATTTAATTGCTGGGAGAAACTGTAGGAAAGTATGTTTTTTTTCACACGACATTGCTTCCTCCTTTTATCAGTATAATGAACATTTACCGATAACTGTTTCTGGTCGATTTATTTTTCAGCAAAGAATAACCTGTGCATTATGGAAAGAAGGTACAGTTTCAGCAGATTTCATAATAAGGTTACAGAATATGGATAGACTATAGAGATTACCAAATCTTAACTTCAGCACAATATTATAATCTGTAATCATATAAACTGACCTAAGTCAACAGTATTCAGCTAGAACAACCCACATTTGTGCACCTTGAGTCTTTAACATTGAGTATTGTTAACTGCCCAGATTATGGTATTTTGATACGGACCTCCCCAAAGCCAAACATGGAATAATTATTCCAAAATCAAAAGAAAAGCAAGTCTGTTTTACCAATTCTGAATTTTTTTTATCATATATGTATAATGGATTTGCCTTGCTTATAATTTGGACTATTCTATTGATAGATGAAGGGATTTCAGTACCAAACTTAAGAAGTCAACAGCAAAGAGTCTGGTTGGACAGTAGCACAGATGTGCTGACTAGTCAAGTTTTATGTTTGTGGTATTATCAGGTCAGTTATAACTGCTGCATGCACTTACTTAAAAGTGTCAATTTGATACAAACAAACATAAATTTGTACATAATATTATTATGGACATTCCACAAATGATAATTTACTACACATTGTACAATCAAATATCTCAAGGTATACAGCTATACATAGTCATGAAATGTAGCTAAAATCTGTAATATATTTTGCAATACTGGTTTTAACATGCTCAAATTCTTGAAAATCCAATTTTTTATTTCTTTTTTTTTTTTAAATATTGGTATCAATATTGATAACATGCTCAAGGTTAATCTTCAATTCAAACTTTCATTTTCTTAAAACAGCATTCTTTTTTTTTATTTTGGGGTGTGGGTGGTGGGGGAATGGGTTTTATGTTGCACTATTTACACAGTATAGGTTATATGGCAACTTTCCCAGCTTTACTGGTGGAGGAAGACCTCAGATGTCCCTCTGTACATTATTTCAGGCACAAAAACGACACCTAAGTAGAACCATCAAAGTTCTGTGAGCCAGTTGGAAAGGTGTTTCTGACATGTTTAATCCGACAACGGATAGTGATAAGTAATTTATAAATACATGTACATGTATTCAATAAAAATATGAAAAAGCATACAAAATGGGCATTAAAAAAACAAACAACCAAAAACAAGACATGCAAAACATGAAGACGCTTCTAAAACATAGGGGCCTATCCCTTCCAAATGACAATTTCAACACATTCATATGAAGCTAAATATTCTCACATGTACACACATTATTCACTGTTTTGGTTTTAAAAATCTAAATTAACATTTTCACAACAAGCTTTGATTTTAGAAATTACTCTTGTCACTTTTACAGATTTGTCTCATTGTAAAATCATGTGACTTAATGTCTTATCTGCAGGATTATCAAGGCAACTGAAAGCATTTTTATGCCATTATGTCGCAGGTTGCGGCACTTTCCGCGGCATCTCTGTGCTCAACATGACTATTGCATGATATATCTTGTCGTTTCTGATGCAGAAAAAAATCTACATCATTGCAAGAGTTAATGCCAAATTATTTAAAATTTCATTCATTCTGATGGCTGGTGTTAAACATATTATTATCAATCAAAATTGCAACAGACAACCCCAGACTGTAAGAAATGAACCCAAAATATAACATAACATAATTACATACAAATTCTAACAGTCAAATTCTAAAAAGACATAATATGTGTCACCTCAAATCTTAATGCCGTGCTAACGCAAATTGTGTTGGTTTTTTTTTGTAAATTATAAAACAATGCTTTTTTGACAAGTCACAAACCCATACTTTGTATTGTAGTCATATTGTGCATTATATTTTCAACATCTTTTTAGTCATGCAAGGTGTTAACCAGATGGTTATATTACTCATCATTATAAAACCATCTTCATAGCTATTGCAGTTTATAGATATGGCCAAGACATTAAGGATATCTACAAAATACGTAACTATTACATGTTTTGGAGATATCCATTACGTATTAGCCATTTCTAATATTAAAACTTTATTAAAGCACAATATTGAATTATAGTTTAAAATAACTTCAACACAGAACAAATTTCCTGGTAAAAGTTTCAAACATTTTGTTGTGTTTCCATAAATCAAAGAATATAACTAAGGCTAGTTAACTTCAAAAGAAGAGGAAAAGTAAAAAATAATAAAAGTTGTAATAATTATAAAAACATTCAAAACAATTTATCAATACATACATACAATAAACTTAAAATCTTAAACAATCACTAATATTATATCATTCACATTACAATTAGATCTAGGTCGCACATAACCAAAAAATGTTATATTAAGCCAGCGACTACCATGCCATGGGAAACTAAAATGTTATCATCTCATACCTCTCACTACATCTTCAAATCACACTGTTAGAAATAAAGCAAGAAGGCCATGCTTATCCTACATCACTCACCTGAGTTTTTTGTTTTGATTGGTTTTACAGCGCAACAACACAATTAAGGTCATACATGTATGGCTATGGAACAGGAAAGATGATTTTGGCTCCCCTCAAGTGTTACAAAACTTAAAGCAACACCAGTGGTCAAAACCTCAAAATCACCTCACCTGCTGGAGCTACAAGATGCACAGACTCCAGTAATTCAAACCCATTTAGTCACCTCTTACGATCATGCAGGGATAAACAGTGGCTGCAATTCTGATGGCTTAACCCTTAAAGGTAACCCCTCAGCCACAATGGGAAACTCACCTGAGTTTAACAGTAACAGTGTTAATAAATACATGTGGTATAAGCCAAGGGGACCCACTCCCACTGTCTTTGTACTACTATCATCTTTCCAAGAGGAACCCACTAAGATCATATGGCTATATTAATTTGCATTAAACCTAAGGCAGATACAGGTGTTGTGAAACCAATAGGTGCACAAGTACATTTAACCATGGAATTGAACATGGTTTATATCATGTGATACTCATATGGTTTATCCCAATGACATGGAGTGGGGGTATTGGGTGACTGTTAAGATGAACAGTTACACAATTAGTAGTCTAAACAGTCCTAGTCTAATGATTGAGGTTTGCTCATAAATTATCTAAAAATTGAGCTAAATATATGACAGAACATCATCCTTTTTGCAATAAATAAATCTCCCCCCATAGATTTTGTTTACAGTCTAAGATAACCCACCTTCCCTGCCCTATTTCAGACATAAGCATCACATAAATAAAACCATTAACCTTCTTAATTTGAGCTTGGACACATATCTCGCATGAAAGAATTCAAGTTTGTTTATTTGGTTGGTTTTTATGGTGATTTAAACACATTTTTGATTGGTCATATTTATACTGTAGGGTCACCTAACCAGCTTTCCAGGATAACTAACCACTAATTATTGAAACAATCTAATTTCACCGACATGATTTAAACCCACAATGTTAAAGGCAAGTAATTCGGAGTCAGCATCCTTTACCATTAGGCCAAAGATGCCACGACTAACGGATTATAAATGATCACAACTATGTATTACACTAAACAGCCATGCTCTATACACTTATAGAGTTAAAAAACACTAAAGATTATGTGTGGACACAGCAATACATTATTATCATCAAAAGTTCATGGCACCACTGTTGTACTGCACCAGACATTTTTGTAAGACCTGTGAACCTTAACATAGTAAAATCCCTGCTCATTGCAATACAGACATACAGACATGTCACATACTGTCACAGCATGGAAGAATAAAACCTTTCACTTTCATCTGGTACTGGCTGGACAATAAGAAGTTTTGAGGGTTAAATTTTGGGTTTACATCGCACAGTTCAGGTTTTCAGCTTTACTAATGGAGGAAGACCTCAAGTGCCCTTCCGTGCATCATTTTGGGCACAAACAGGCACCAGAGTAGAACCTCCAACATTCCGTAAACTAGCTGGTTAGCCTCCTCACATAAAATTCCAAAATCCCTGTCAGGATTCAAACCCATAGCAGTTATGGGTAAGTGGTTTGAAGTCAACAACCTTAACTGGACGCCCCTATGAGAATTAGGTAACTGGGTCAAAAATGTCTGGTGCGTAACTTGTTCTACAATATAATCAAGTTACAAAAGTGTTGCTGGTGAATTCTTGATTTAGATTAATAGCTAGCACATGCAACGCAGGGTCAGAAAGAATCTTACATCTCTGTATGATAGGCAACGTCGCTTTGTCGACGGTGACTTCTGAATAAATAGATGTTTGTTACATAATGAAAAGCAGCTACCTGGATTGAAAGCTAGTGATTTCATGAAACTAATATACAAGATGGTCAATTGAATTGCTTACAATAAAGTTTTTAGGTTTATTTTTGTTATGCTTTTTAGTTGCAGGTACCCGTTAGTACTTTATTTAAGAAATAAAAGATCAAACGTTTGTAAAATTACCAACAGTTGGCTTACTTACATGAAAGATCAATTCAATGACAATGGCGAGAATAATCCAAAATTGAACAGGAAGCAGTTTATGGCAATTGAATTACTGGCCCACTGCGGCTTGGGACAGTTTTAAGAGCTGTTGTCAAATATACGCATACCTATTTATCTTCATGTATTGACAATACACGAGACGCTTACAAAGAAGGCAAGTTTTACAGTAGCATAGTAAAGTTTACATTGTATTGACCATCTTTAGTTCTTGCCAAATAGATCATACGTCAAGTTTCCTCCTATGTTTGCTTAAATGGACTTGTCTAGAATGTTTATTACACTCCACATAATGCTTCATGTTATCAAAATACTAAAATACTAATGCATCTAATGGTACAGATTTTGGTCCGGCTGCATCGACAGGGAGGCAAGTTTTTTCGTGAAAGTGGTAAAACTAGACTGGTAACAAAGATATGAGCCGCGTCACGACAAAACCAACATAATGCGTTTGCGACCAGCATGGATCCAGACCAGCCTGCGCATCCGCGCAATCTGATCAGGATCCATGCTGTTCGCTTACAAACCCTATTACAAGTAGAGAAACTGATAGCGAACAGCATGGATCCTGATCAGACTGCGCGGATGCGCAGGCTGGTCTGGATACATGCTGGTCGCAAACCCATTATGTTGGTTTTGTCATGACGCGGCTCATATATTCTCAGATAGACTGTAACACATGTTGTAAAAGCAAGACAGATGTCAAGTTATAGAAATATACACAATGTATACATTCAATATGAGTGCTGTGAAATCATTTAAATGATGTGAGATTATGATAAGTTCTACGAATCTTTTGGATATAGAATTATCTAACTTCTAAAAATCAGACTTAAATTTTTTTTTACAGGGATACTGCAATAACAAAGTTCATTTCTTCCCTTCGACACAACTCATTTTAATATGATTTCACAGTAATCGTAACAAACTTCCACTTCAAAGACAAAGTCTTCAAGATTCCATACATGTATACAATATCTATTGCAGAATATATTAGAATCAAATTTGCAACTTTTTCTCTCTTCAAAGCACGGACTTCACATAATTATGTTATATAGGTATCATCTTCTACAACAATAGATTACAATATATTTTAGGACATCTTTTGTTAATTTGTTAAAATAGTTGCAAATACATATTGAAATTTGCATAAGTGAATTTATATGCACCAATTGACAAATAGTACAACAACAACAACTGATTAACTCATTTTTGTGACCATAGTTAAAATTATAATACATAGGAAAAAGAAATACAAGATTAATGCATACAGCTATGAAAAGTCTAAAACGAATGGATAAAATTAATCTGTAACATTTTTCAACTTTTCTTCATATCACATTTGACCTCTCACTTACTATTAATAATTGACCACTCATTTGATCTCACATATTTGACCACTCATTTGATCTCAATATTTAACCACTCATTTGATCTCCGATATTTGAGCTCTCATTTACTTTTAAAATTTGACCACTCATCTGATCTCATATATCTGACCACTCATTTGATCTCACATATTTAACCTCTCACTTACTTTACCATTTTGACCACTAATTTGTTTTCAAACAAATCAAAACTGACATGCATTAGTAACAAGATCACTAATATTGCTAATTCTCTTCTGTTGAGACTTAAATTAAAGAAACTCCACTGAGGTATAAAAGCCTAAAAATATATAAAGAATTATATTTCTTACATGGAACATCTGGGGCACTAAAATTAGAAAGACATAAAATTGATTATTAAGAAATATACTCAGAAATAAGTTGAAAATCTTATTTTGTGCATTCCATAGCCAAATTTTAGTGAAAAGGCATTGCAACGCTTTTCAATTTTTGGTAATTTTTCACTATTAGAAAAATTATTCTGGAAAAACAGAGTGAGCAAATAATCTTAAATTTTACATACAAGTTTCTTATCTAGACCTACATCAAATGAAAGATTATCTCAAAAAATTATTTCCAGTCCTGCCATGTCAAATAACCTCAGTGGAGTCCCTTCAAGTCACAAAGGCACTATACAGGTCATATAGTCACTATCCAGCTTTGAAAGAAGACGTCAGTTGTACCTCCGTGTAAATCATCTGATACAATTCGGTCGTACCACTGTTCTTTCTTGTTTCGTAAGATAAATAGATAGATAGCCCTTATACCTACATTTAAATATACATTTTCTTTTTACATTTCATACCTGTGTAAACAATAAAATGCAACACTATCAGTGACACAGTAACATTACCTTGGTGGTATTTGGCCTGACTGTTTTCCAAACTCTTGCGAGTTAACCATCTGTTGATTCCTATTGCTAGCTTCTGCCCGGGTACCGTCGCCTTTCATCACAGATATACATTTCCAGTTGCCTAAATAATTACCTTAAACAAAATGTAAATCTATAATTATCATGGTACAAGGATATGTCTGCTTATTTTATTCAACCCTAACCACACTAAATATCTGAAATGGACTCATCCATCTTTCAATCTGGACAAAACCATTCTAGTATGTACTGACAGAATAGGGAACAGTGTAGACCATGATCAGATGTCTGAACTGACTCAACATGTATATAATCAGAATGCAAAAGATAAAAGACAAACAGTTAAGAACCCTTGATCACAACGGTCCAATATGATGTTACAGTTATACTTCTTTATATACATGTAAAAAGCTTATAGACTAACAATTGTTTGCCATTATTGAGCTCTAATATGTTTCATAGGAGGCTTTAGATTTTTGTTCTGGTTTGTTTAGTTTCCTTAGATTGTTTGTTACATTGACACACATAAGATCACATGTCGAATTTAGAGCTTTACTAGTGCAGAAAGACTGTCAGTACCATTTCAAGTATTCTTTCAGGCGCAAGTGCTAACCCATGTAGAATAACCAACCTTCCAAAGGCTAGCTATATCACTTTCTCATATGAATGAATTCATGAATTCACAATCATTAACCAGATTCTTTCCGAGCGAAAGGAGCAGGCCATTTAAAGTCATTGACCTTTACCCAATATATTGTACTTACTTCTTAGCCATGGAGCACCACTGTATTTATAGATTTATAACAGAAGTTAATCTCAAATCAAAGTTTTTTGTATAGTATCATCTTTCCACAATGCTTTTGTATGAAACAACAATAAGCATTATTTTGATTAAAATACTGGTAATTTATGTTACCTTTCCACATTCTGACACAACTATCGTCCCCTGATGACACCAGTACAGTTCCTATAACATTCCAACATATTCTCCATACCTGTAACATATCAAATCTTAATCTATTTGTCTATAAAGGCATTTTTTATATTTTTGCTTGGGTTTTACGTTGCACTTTAAAGGTCATATCACAACATTCCAGCTTTTCTGATGGAAAACAACCCCAGGTGCTCCTCTGTGCATTATTTCAGGCACAAACTTGCACCGGAGTAGAACCACTTATGTCCTGTTAGGCAGCTGGATATTTTCCTCAAATGAAAAAATCCAAATTCCCATGGCATACAGCCCCACCAATTGGCGGATCCAAGCTGTATGTCTATGTATGATTAATGTAAAAGTCTATTAAGCAATGTTACATGCCATGTTTTCTAAGCTTTGGGCATTGTATTTTCAGATAAGAGGATGTATTTTCCTGAACTAGTCTATATGAAATACGTGACCTCAGGGTGGGGCCATTTTAACCCAGGAGACATAATTTATATGACTTTTGCAGAGGATCACTAGGAAGTTGATCTACATACCAAATATTTAAGCTCTAGGCCTTGATGTGCCTGATAAGGAGATTTTTAAACAATTGATTTGTCAAGTCCATATATTGCTCTAGTGACCTATTTGTGCATCAGACTGAAACCATTGATATAATTTTTGTAGAAGACCATCTAAAAATATATTCTGTGATGTTTGGCAAAATCTGCATTGAAGTTTAAAAAAAGATGCAGTTTTATTGAAATTGTGAACCTATGTAGGACATCAGGCGATCATACAAGTCCGCCTATTTTTGCTCTATTGAGCTAAAACCACATCGGACATTAGGCGACCAAAAAAGCTCACCTATTTTTGCTCAGGTGAGTTAAAAAATAAAAATAATGATACATACTTGTGAATCATGATCGTTGAAGTCACCAATTTGTTTCAGTTCAAATTTTGTAAGCCCCGTCTGACCACTTAATGTAGCATCTCTCCTGCAATAAAACATACACCATTATGAAATATACCAACTGTAGAATAGAAATAAGTTGTTTTCATAAACTTTAAAGATATGAAAATTTAATCTTGATCGTATAAACATTCTAACAACCTTTTAATTTTTAGCTTTACATTTTACAAGAGAATATGTATTTTCGCATATACAATGTAAATATTACTGCATATTCAAAAATAATTCAGAAATAAGATGAAAAAAAAGGCCCACTTGACTCTAAACCACTCTAAACGATGCAGATAATCATACCCCTGCCCCCCCCCCCCTTCCCTCTTGTGGCTGAATGGTTGCCTTTACGGGTTGAGGCATCAGAAATGCAACCACTGTTTAACCCTACGAGAGCATAAGAGGTGACTAAATAGGTTCGAGTTATTGGAGTCTATGCATCTTGAAGCTCCAGCAGGTGAGGTGATTTTGATCCCTGGCGGTACTTAAAGTACATAACAATCGAGATTAGCCAAAACAAACTTTTCTCTGTTGGTGTCGTATGACCTAAACTGTGTTGGTGTGCTGTAAAACCAATCAAAACAAACAAACTCACCCATTAACCTCACCTTACCAGCATACCACACTATATATTTCACTTATTTATAGAAATAAAACCTCACCTTAAAGGATCCAGTATGATTATCTTCAATGTTTTACTAGCTATACCCAGCAGATGATACGAGCGTCCTAAATTTGGAGCAAAGGCAACATCGTGTACTGCATCTGTCGCCATGGCAAGAGTTTCTACTTTGTTCCATTTTCTGTAAAACATAAACCTTTATCTTAATTTATACAAATTTATTTTAGCTTGATTGTGTTGGAAGCTATGAGCTTATTAAAAACACACTCGATTCCATTCCTGGAACCAACCAGTACTAAGCAATGAATGTAAAATTTCTTGCTCAAGGGAACAATGGCTTGCCACTAACAGGGTTTGAACCCACGCGGTTAGAAAACTTTAGATTACTAGTCTGACGTGTAAACCACTTGGCCATGCCAAACCTTTACCTTCTCTTGATTCTAATAAATGACTAAATATATCATTTACCTTATATAATATACCTTATCCAAAACAAAGTTCTTATTTTTTGGCAGGTTTTCGTAAAATTTGATATTTTCTTCAGGTCAAAAATTTCGTGAAATCAACATTAAGGACTGGCAAGATTTAATATTCACAATTTCTATTTTCAAGTTACAGTACAAGGCACAAGTGTATATGGCCCTTTTATTTAGCATACAGATTTCGGTTTTCTAACCTTAATGCTTATTAATTTTATCATTTGCCTTATAGTTTGTTTATATATTCTGTTTTTACTTGAACAATATGATACAATGCTCTAATTCTTGTCTATATGTGTCAAAAGATAATTGAAATGTAACTGTGATAATATTAAATTGAACGTTTTTATTTGCACTGGATAAAAGCTCTCTATGTCATGCCACCAACACAGGGGACCACAATGGAAATAAGAGTCTCTCTTTTTTGTGCTATCCTTGGTGCTGATGTCATGGCTTATTTATACTCATGTATGTTTTAAATGTATAGGTTGTTTTAAATATCCATGTATATGTATTCTATACCAAAATAAATCTATCTAAATCTACCTATCTTGTGTAAATGTAACAGTTCACTTAGTGTATTTATTTCATGTCATGTCAAATGATCTATATCGTTGTACTGTTACTATATATAGTTACCTTGTGGCATCGTTATATTCGTGAATTTGCACTTTCCCGCCTGCTGCAGTGTTGGAATCGTTGCTACCTACTGCTAACATTGGGGAATGCCTTCTGTTTAAAACATAAAACAAAACTGTAGGCTATTAATTCTGGAAAAACAGGATGAACAATTGATCTGAAATTTTTCACACAACTTATTAGTATAAACAAACATCAAATGGTATAAAAATCTAAGAAAAAAAATTCCAGTCCAATCATGTCAAAAAACCTTGGTGCAGTCCCTTTAAATATGAGCTCCACTGATACCCTAAAAGTATAGAATTTGAATTCTCACATAGATCAACTTTGTCACTTAAATTGGAAATATATACAAAAGATAATAATCAGATTTAAATTGGAAATAATTTTTGTGAAATTTTTAGCCTTTATTTAGACTGATTTAAATTAAAAACATCATTTTGCACACTTTAAAATGATTATTCTGTAAAAAAGGAAATTATTTAATGATCTGAAATTTTGCACACAAATCTGAGTAGAACTTTCCTTTTGTAAGCATTAGTTATTAATTGTTACCACTTGAAATCAAAATGAATATAAAAGACAAAGATTTTGTATAATTTTGGTGGTGGTGGTGTTGGTAGTTTTCACTTCCTATCATGACAGTAAGCAACATTGAATTTACCAGAGCACAATTCAGCCACCACATCATTCCTGGGCAGGCTGTCAAGCAGTTTACTAGTTCTAGTTACCTTCACTTTTGCAAGAAACTGATTACTTCTGTACATACAAGAGCAGAGGTACATTGCGAATGACAGTCGAAAGGATTTCATGATCAATCCCAACAAAAGTGACCTGCGTCGCCCTGGAATCGAACACAGGTCACTCGATTCACAGTCAATCACTTTACCTATTGAGCTAACCGGACAGTTTTGTATAATTTTGTATTCATATATGTAGATGTATAAAGATGAAAAAGAAATTAGCAAGTATTGTTACCTTGAAGGATTCCATGAAAGACAACTGCATCTTAGTTTGCACGTAATCTCGTGCTGAAGAGACCACTGACTGAGATTCATTACATCAGGGGCCTCATATATACGTACAATACCATCTGTTGAACATGTTGCCTGAAATTGTTAAAAATTATTACATCCTGGCCCTTATTTCATGAAAGTTACATCCTTAAAAAGGAAGTTTTTCCAAAACCGTATAAAACTAAACAAGTGAAATATTAGCACGATTTGATTTAACTATAGTCTATTTTGACTTTAAAAATATTCACTTATATATAAAAATAATCACGAAATGTCCAGATAAAAAGGATAAAACGGAACAAATTCTCTTCATTTAAAAAAATTCTCTTCAAATAAAGTAATTAAACTCACCAGCTGTAAGCCTAAATGTTTGGGAGCAAATTTTACATCAGTTACTGATGTTCTACTGTCTACTAGACTTGTTCTCTTTATCCACGATCTGTGTTGACCGTCTGACCGAACCTCATCCACCATTTCCTCCCAGATTGCAGCTGTACGGTCAAACGAACATGTGGCAACAACCTGGCCGTACTCAGGGTGTGCCCAGGTCACTCTCCAAACTGAGCCACTGTGTGTCTGAAATACATGTTATAGGGTTGTCATTAAGAGGCGGCAGGAGGCCAAAATGCCTGTCTCAAATGCATTATGGGCCGCCTCAAAATTAAGAAAACACTCTTTGTTATGCATGATAAAGACAGAAATGACCGCCTCAAGTTCAAAACAAACCTTCTGCAAAAAATGTTAATGACAACCCTGTGTTATAAAAAAATCACCATCATTCTTTTATCCCTGAAACTACTGAATTTGTGTAATGGATTTGCCCTGCTTTGGATTTGGAACAGTCCATTCAATTCAAGGTTTAAGGGATTATTGTCAGTTTTCCACATACATTAGCCTTATCAATGAACACTTTTTTAAAGCAGAAATATGTATTTAAAATTTTAAAGATCTTGCATTTTCAAACTTTTAATCTGAGATAATAATGATACCGTACAAACAAGCTCATGAATTCATAATGTTTGTAATAAAATAGTCATTTATTAATGAGTACATGTAGTTCGCTTTAATCCCTAAGGTTTCTAAGAGGCTTACCTTCCAGCTAGCACTGCAGATCCATTCCCCATCTTCTCCCTGATCCCAGATCTAAAATGTAATACATACAGTGTTCTAAACTATATAACTGCTACAATAGTGCTATACTGGGACACATGTATTACTTACAATGTATGCTATGCAACTATGCAACTAAACTGGAATTATTTAGCACAAAGTGTTGATTTGGTCTTTATGTACACTATAGTATATTATTTTCCCAATCCACAGGAAAAAATTCCCAATTGAAAGTAACAAAATAAAGATATTGAAAAAAAATTCTAAAATCTTTGCAAATAAGGGCTTCTTCACTGTAATAGTGCTTAAATGTTTGAAGATACCATCATAGAAGTAATTGTTTGGCTTTGCATCCATTTAATCACTGCAAAATTTCAGTCATGCATTTTTTCCCCAATTTTTAACAAAACATCACTGAAATTCCCAATTCCATGGGTATGGGTCATGTTCCCAAATCCTGGAAAAAATCCCTGTAATATGTAGAAATCAGTACCCAACATATAAATGAGCAAATTCAACAGAAACAAAAAATACACAACGGTAAATCAAAGTAAATGTAAAGGGAAAATTCGCAAGCGTAGCCCTTTGTAAGTCCAACTCATTAGACTTGCTAAAGAAACATTGATAAAATGTTGGAATGGATATACCTTTTTCCAAGTCCAACGTGAACAATGAACTTCATTTTTCTACACAGATGCTCCACAAGGGACGAGGTTCATACCTGACATCCTAAATAAGTGCATTTACTGCAAATTTACTATGTCTGGCAAAGATCTGTTTCATACATGTATATGTAAATTTCATGCCTGTTATAAACCATAACAGCTTTACACGTCCGAATTACGGACATTTCGGACCATGGACGTTTCGGACCAGACACTTCCCACCAGATTTTTTGGTCATTTCGACCAGATTTGGGATATATCGGACCATGAGATGGTTATTTTGGACCATGATGGGGACACTTCGGACCAGAAAGTTTTATTCAATAGACCATTTATTCCTTTTTTATATATAATTTTTTTGTTATTTCAGGGTGTTATTACAATATTTTCTTATGATAAATGCAACAAATATTTGACATTTTTATATTTTATGATATTCAAAAGGCATGCAGAAAAGACCAGTCCGACGAGATTTTCACATTTCCCAACAAGCTTATATATTATTGTTTTGATTATCCATGTAAAATATTTATATCATAATTCATTTATGAATTTCTATACGCTATTTCTATACATACTGTATAGATAATGATACGCTATGTTTAACTTATTTAAAAGAATTGAAATTGATTTACATCTTTGTCAATTCAGTTTTTCACATGTTTTAATTGTTGAATAGAACTTGTTTAAGTTACGTTTCACTCAATTAAAGAAGTATGTATGTAATTTTTACCTAATTTGACAACAAATGTTGAAATTGATTGGATTTAATTGGAATGCGATTAAAGTAAAGCTCATTAGTATGTATGTATTTGTAAGATAATGTATGATTTGTGATATTAGAATGTGTTGTAAATAATCTATTTCGTCATGTCTTTTTGTATATACTTTAAAATAAATTGTTTGAAAACGTGTGTCACCAAAACATTGCTTTTTTTGGTTTGTTTGTTGTTTTTTTGGTTTTTTTTCTTCATTTAAAGTGCAAAATATATATAATCTAAATCGGGATAGATGTAAAATTGTTCCATATGGTGTCTCATATAATATATACTAAAGTTACTCTTTAGTTTATTATAGAATAATTGATTCATAATATATCAAAAAATAATATTTACTCTGGTCAGAAATGTCCTAAACAATGGTCCGGAGTCACGGCGAAGTGTCTAACACATGATACCAAATGTCCAATACATGGTCCAAAATGTCCAAAACAATGGTGCGAAATGTCTAATGCATGATCCGAAATGTCCAACACATGGTCCGAAATGTCCAAAAATCTGGTCCGAAATGTCCTTAAATAAGGTCCAAAGTGTCCCAAAATCTGGTCCAAAGTGTCTGGTCCAAAATGTCCAAAAATCTGGTCCGAAATGTCCTTGGTCCAAAGTGTCCCAAAATCTGGTCCAAAGTGTCTGGTCTAAAATGTCCATGGTCCGAAATGTCCTATTACCATGCGTACTTAGCACCTAATTTCATATTAGTTATAAAGTAACTGAAGTCCTAAAACACAACAAGAGCATTCAGTGATCACATGTGTCGCATCATGATGGCCAATTTCATGTTGGGACAAGTTTTGTGACAGACGGACGGACAGACAGACAGACGGACAGACAGACAGACGGACAGACAGTGCACAAAAAAACTTGGTACTGATCATTCCTGTAAAGTTTGGATGAAATTGCACCAGTAGTTTATGAGGAGTAGTGGGGACAAGCTTTTGTGTATCTGGCAACACAGAGAAAAAACACCTTTTTATCAAAGGGCCATAACTCGGCCAAAAATCATTCAACCGGAAAACCCGTGCAATATGCACAAGGACTTGAGCTACAGATCAATCCTGTAAAGTTTCATTGAAATTGCATTAGTGGTATAAGAGAAGTAGTCCGGACAAACTTTAAAAATAAAAATTATTAAAGGGCCATAACTCTGACAAAAATCATTGAACCGGAAAATTCTGACAATATGCACAACTAGACTTGGTACTGATCATTCCTGTAAAGTTTGGATGAAATTGCACCAGTAGTTCATGAGGAGTAGTCCGGACAAGCTTTTGTGTATCTGGCAACACACAGAAAAAAACACCTTTTTTATCAAAGGGCCATAACTTGGCCAAAAATCATTCAACCGGAAAACCCGTGCAATATGCGCAAGGACTTGAGCTACAGATCAATCCTGTAAAGTTTCATTGAAATTGCATTAGTGGTATAAGAGAAGTAGTCCGGACAAACTTTAAAAATAAAAATTATTAAAGGGCCATAACTCTGACAAAAATCATTGAACCGGAAAATTCTGACAATATGCACAACTAGACTTGGTACTGATCATTCCTGTAAAGTTTGGATGAAATTGCACCAGTAGTTCATGAGGAGTAGTCCGGACAAGCTTTTGTGTATCTGGCAACACACAGAAAACAAGAGGGCCATGATGGCCCTGAGGTCGCTCACCTGTATATAGGCCCCCGGAGCGGGGCCAGTTTAAACCCCAGGGCTTTTATTTGAGCAAACTTGGAAGACACCCATTAGAAGATGTTTCATGATGTTAAGTTTTTACTACACACATATAATGAAAAACAATGACCTCCCCCCCCCCACCTTTGGCAGGGCCAATTTAAACCCAAGGGCTTTTATTTGGACAAACTTGGTAGACACGTAGACACCAACAAAAAGATGTTTCCTGCTTAAAATCTAACCTCTAGCTCATTGGGTTTTTTAAAAGAAAATTTTTTAAGTTTTTACTATACACATATAGTTATAAAAAATGACACCTCTGGGGCGGGGCCAGTTTTAACCCCAGGGCTTTTATTTGAACAAACTTTGTAGACACTTACTAGAAGATGTTTCATTCTTAATATCTAAACTCTAGCTATTTGGGTTTTTTTAAAGAAGATTTTTAAGTTTTTGCCATACACATATAAGGAAAATCAATGACCCCCGGGGCAGGGCCAATTTTGACCCCAGGGCTTTTATTTGGAGAAACTTTGTAGACACCCATTAGAACATGTTTCATGCTAAATATCTTAGCTCTAGCTCTTTGGGTTCTTTAAAAGAAGATTGTTTAAGTTTTTACTATATGCATATAGAGAAAATCAATGACCCCCTTGGGCGGGGCCAATTTTGACCCCAGGGCTTTTATTTGAACAAACTTGGTAGACACTCACTAGAAGATGTTTCATGCTTAATATCTAAACTCTAGCTATTTGGGTTTTTTCAAAGAAGATTTTTTAAGTTTTTGCTATACACATATAGGGAAAATCAATGACCCCCTGGGGCGGGGCCAATTTTGATCCCAGGGCTTTTATTTGAACAAACTTGGTAGACACCCATTAGAAGATGTTTCATGCTTAATATCTAAGCTCTAGCTCTATGGGTTCTTTAAAATAAGATTTTTAAAGTTTTTACTATATGCATATAGGGAAAATCAATGACCCCCTGGGGCGGGGCCAATTTTGACCCCAGGACTTTTATTTGAACAAACTTGGTAGACACCCATTAGAAGATGTTTCATGCTAAATATCTTAGCTCTAGCTCTATGGGTTCTTTAAAAGAAGATTTTTTAAGTTTTTACTATATGCATATAGGGAAAATCAATGACCCCCTGGGGCGGGGCCAATTTTGACCCCAGGGCTTTTATTTGAACAAACTTGGTAGACACTCACTAGAAGATGTTTCATGCCAAATATCTAAGCTCTAGCTCTTTGGGTTTTTTAAAAGAAGATATTTAAAGTTTTTTCTATTGGTTGCCATGGCAACCAGAGTTCTGCATGGAATTAAATTCTTTGAACAATTTTTAAAGGTGACCACCAAAGGAAGATTCCTGTGAAGTTTGGATGAAATTGGCTAAGTGGTTTATGAGGAGATGTCATTTAAAGTAAAAGTTTACGGACGGACGGACGACGGACGGACGACGGACGAAAAGCGATCACAAAAGCTCACCCTGTCACTTTGTGACAGGTGAGCTAAAAACACCTTTTTTATCAAAGGGCCATAACTCGGCCAAAATTCATTCAACCGGAAAACCCGTGCAATATGCGCAAGGACTTGAGACACAGATCAATCCTGTAAAGTTTCATTGAAATTGCATTAGTGGTATAAGAGAAGTAGTCCGGACAAACTTTAAAAATAAAAATTATTAAAGTGCCATAACTCTGACAAAAATCATTGAACCAGAAAATTCTGACAATATGCACAACTAGACTTGGTACTGATCATTCCTGTAAAGTTTGGATGAAATTGCACCAGTAGTTTATGAGGAGTAGTCCGGACAAGTTTTGTGACGGACAGACAGACAGACAGACTGACAGACAGACGACGGAGAAGTGATCCCTATATGTCGCCACTACTCCGTAGAGGCGACACAAAAAGCTGAAGTATTTTTACATATAAACATGATTTTCAAAGAGAACTAATCTCATTTACAATAACTGAGGAATTTGTCAATATTAGTCTCCCTTGCCCTTGAAAAACTGTCAGACAGTCAGACCCTATTTAGCTTAAAAATCAACAGACCATGTGACCGTATTGGCCTACAGTTTTCAGGAAGTCTGTGATTTCCTTTTAAATATTGTATATAGTCAGGCAAGACGAAGCCCAGTCCCTTAGACTTCCCTGTATTAATCAATTTCTATGAAAGTGACGAATGTCAGACGTTTCACTCCCAAGACGTTTCACTATTGAGACGTTTCACTCCCAAGACAGTTCACACCTAGACGTTTCACTCCCATTTTGTCAATTGTATGGACGTTTCACTCCCAATTTTAAGAGATGTTTACTAGGAAAGTTAACAAATTTTAATTTCATTAATATCAAACAGTGTAAAAAGGAAATTCAATTTAATGTTTTATTTTGTTGATTTCAATGGTATTGTTAATACGAATTATTAGAAGATTACTCATTTAATTATGGGTTGAGTGATAAGAGGTGTAAATGAAAGACAAATTTCTGAAATATCACTTTTATTATAAGGCCACAGAAAATTAATTTTTAGACTCTCATCCTCGCCCGCCCGTATCAAAATCTTTCCGCTCCAAAATAATTTATTTTCATAAAAAAAAATTGTTCATTTCGCAGACGTCTGTGGACGAAAATTCGTCCGAAAATCGTGGTCGAATATTCGCGGGACGAACGCATAAAAATCAGACTGAGGTTTACAGCGTCTAGTGATCAAGATTTTAAATACGTTCGTTTTCGATCAGTAAAATTGTCAAAATGTTCGTCATATGTGAAATATATGATGCAGTAAACAAGAAAACTGTTTGTGATTGGTTTGGGTTTAGTTTTGATCAAAATCTGGGTGGAAATTTAGTATTATTCTCATTAAAATATAGATTTAAACACTTTTGTTTATTCATACATTTCTGTTTTTTCAGGTCTTAAAAGTGATGGATAAAATAAATTATAAATTCCACCCACCCGCCCCAATTATTTCTTGAAACCTGGATGAGAGTCTAAAGATTAATTTTCTATGGCCTAAGTATAAGTGTAACAACATGAGAAAATTCTATTTAAAGTAAATTAAAAAAATAAATAGAATAACATAGAAAGAACAAATATTGAAATCACAACCAGTAAAGTAATTAATATTATTCAAATAATAAAAAATATCAATATATTAAATATATTGACTACATGTATATAATGATTTTTTTTGTAAGTCTTAAACAATGAAATGCAAAACAATGAAAACATGTGTATAAAATAAATTATTTTTTAAAATTATTTTCTTCATCAATTTATTAAACAGTAGCCATTAAACAAACTTAAGTAATTGTGTTATCTCATCGCCTAATTAGTTGTATAAACACTGAGACAATCAACTAACAGTTTGACACCACTATTTAATCAGTTGTATAAACACTGCACTTAAGCATCAACATTCTGCTAATCAGTTGTTTATTGGACCATTAAAATATTTTTTGACAATAGCCAATTTAAACACAGAAACTTTTCCATAAGTTTGTTTATATAATAATGAATTTTGGTCACAAAAAATTATTATATATGACAAATATTGAAAAAATCCCATTGCATTTAATTTAATTTAAAGATATTTCTGATTTCGAAATAATTTTGGTATAAAAAGGGAGTGAACGTCTTGGTGTGAACCGTCTTGGTGTGAACCGTCTCAATAGTGAAACGTCTGTCTACCAAAAGTGACAGGCTACTTTAAGTATAATACGGGGAAGTCAAAGACCGGGCCCGCGAAGCGGGTCCAGGCTTTGGCTTGCCCGGCTATAGACTACACGTGAATATTTAAAAAAAAATCAAATAAAAAACAATTAAAAAATATATAGAATTCTATACCTATCAATGAAATTTTAAGTGTCAGTTCTAGTCGGGCGCCGCCATTTACAATGTATGTCAATGATAATAGGCGGGGTATTCCGATAACGGAACAAATCTCAACTTTTCGGATTAGTAATAATCGTCGAGTGTTCCGAGTGAAAACGGAAGCGGTGTATGTAATATCGAATGACACCTTTAAAACGGAAAGAATGAAAGGATTTTTTAACGACTTCCCCGTTCATAGGCTTTGCCTAATTTCATATTACGGGGAAGTCAAAGACCGGGCCCGCGAAGCGGGTCCGGGCTTTGGCTTGCCCGGCTATAGACTACACGTGTATATTTAAAAGAAAATCAAATAAAAAACAATTAAAAAATATATAGAATTCTATACCTATCAATGAAATTTTCAGTGTCAGTTCTAGTCGGGCGCCGCCATTTACAATGTAACTCAATGATAATAGGCGGGGTATTCCGATAACGGAACAAATCTCAACTTTTCGGATTAGTAATAATCGTCGAGTGTTCCGAGTGAAAACGGAAGCGGTGTATGTAATATCGAATGACACCTTTAAAACGGAAAGAATAAAAGGATTTTTTTAACGACTTCCCCGTTCATAGGCTTTGCCTAATTTCATATTACGGGGAAGTCAAAGACCGGGCCCGCGAAGCGGGTCCGGGCTTTGGCTTGCCCGGCTATAGACTACACGTGTATATTTAAAAGAAAATCAAATAAAAAACAATAAAAAAAATATATAAAATTCTATACCTATCAACGAAATTTTCAGTGTCAGTTCTAGTCCGGCGCCGCCATTTACAATGTAACTCAATGATAATAGGCGGGGTATTCCGATAACGGAACAAATCTCAACTTTTCGGATAAATAATAATCGTCGAGTGTTCCGAGTGAAAACGGAAGCGGTGCATGTAATACCGAATGACACCTTTAAAACGGAAAGAATGAAAGGAATTTTTTAAATAACGACTTCCCCGTTCATAGGCTTTGCCTAATTTCATATTAATATATCAATGATATCCAACACAATTAAAAGTCAATTTATGAATCAGGCCATATTCAGGGGAGGCAAATGACATTCAATTGTGTGTAGTTTTTTCTTTCTTTTTGTTTTGATGATATGAATATATCATTAACAAGTATTGACTTTCAATGACATGCAAACAGGATAAAAATCGGCGGCACGAAATACCCAAATATACCCAAATACACCCAAATATACCCAAATGTTGCCCAAATATACCCAAATATAGCAATATCTATTTTTGTTTGTATAAAATATAGATTATAATGAGAAATAAATAAATATTTATAAAATAATATGACTAAGCCTGCTATAACTTTCAAATAATATGACTAAGCCTGCTATAACTTTCATTCATTCCGTTGAAATGGGCAGTTAAGATGTTGTAAGAAAATAAGTTGTGACATTTGCTTATTTACAATATCGCTTCTTTATGAATGCAATTTTAATTCAAGATATGATATTTGTTGTCTACACTTACATTTCTAAGGTGTAATTTTGTTGAAATTTCATATCATATAGAAGAAGAATGTCCATAATATTAAAAAAAATAGCTTTAATTGAGTACATATACTGTATCTCACGGGTGCTAGTCACATAATCAAATATTTTACATTAACGGTCTATATATGTATATAAAGATATATAATATATCTTATTATAGTATATAGCCCATATAAAACTTTAAAAAGTTTGTTTCAAGCACCTGTGCTGTATCTTGGTTCAAAACACAATGATAGGAAAATGTATATTTGGGTATGTTTGATTATATCTTAGTGAAAGTGTATTTTGTATTCATGATTAAAATAGCACTTTTTAGTATAAAACATTTATTTTTAGTATAATTGGACAATATTTGGGTATATTTAGGCAATATTTGGGTATATTTGGGCAATATTTGGGTATATTTGGGTGTATTTGGGTATATTTGGGTATTTCGTGCTGCCCAAAAAAATAGATAATAGATTTGCTAAAACAGTGTCGCTACCTTTACAGTTTGGTCACTGGAGCAAGTTGCCATCCTTCGACCGTGGAAATCGTATGATACATCATGTATCAAATCTTTATGATCAGACTGAATACTTTTGGCTACAAACATTTTGGCTTATTAAGCTGTAATTACAAAATTTGACAAAAAATATTTTTTGTTTTCTTTTAGCATGTGAAGTTCGCCATCTTTAATTTACCGCCGTGTAAAAACGTAAGGCGTCTAATCATTGGTGGAAGTCAATTCGTTCTGCGAATCAGCTTTGAGGTTACAAAGAGCATGTACTATCGGAAGCGGAAGTTGAAGTTGACAAAGGTGTACAACTATTACGAGTGTGTGCACAAAATCGAAAGTTTGACAATGTTTTCAAACTTCATCAAGAAATAAGTAGTAATAAATCATTAAAGGTAATCCGTTTATCCTGATCACTTTCTTTATCAAAATCTGATCAAGAGACAAATTGATACGTCACTTGAAAGTCCAGTCTTGTGTGATTTTAACAGTGACACTTGATCTATAAATATCATTTTACATAGGGTGTCCATATTTTCCTTTCCAGCACTTTTATATTGTATCAAAAGATACAAAATAAAATGGTCTATTCCACAATTTCAGTTACGTCAAATTAAGGAATGATTCTGATTTCGCCCCTTAGCGACTGGCCTATCTGAAATAATTTATGAGACGATTAGCCCTTAGAGATTAGTGACAACTTGCCCCACTTCAAAATAATCAATTTAATCATGATTTAAATAATTAATGATAAAGTAATATTACGATGAAATGCGTATATACATAACAATATCAATGTTATGAAATAAAATGTATGACATTATAAATTAATTATTAGAATAGTCCAGGGACAGGGTTATAGGTTTTTCGCCAACTATGCTCTTAGAATATGCCCACCAAATATATCGCCTTGCCTTCATCATCGAGCTTTTCACTTCACCTCTTGCTCTTTCTCTTGATTTACATTAAAAAAATAGCTATATACAATTTTTTTGAATACACTTATAGGAGTAGTTTATTTTGCTTGAAAGACAAGTTCTTGTTATGAATAGATATTTTTCTAACACACTTTTTCAAGAAATCTGAAGTGTAGAGCAATTTCAAAGTTTGAAGTTCAATATTCAACAAATAATCTCCTAGGTTTAGTTTAATTTTCTTCTGAAGTTCTCGCAACAGCTCAGGTCATTGGTAGCCTGAGAATACTTAGATAGAATTTTTAAAAAATACCACTAAAATGAATAAAAGACAAAAATATAAACAATTATTGCAATTAGCTGTTTAATAATGAATACAAAATTGGTTAATATGAAATGGTGCGAATTGTCACTAAAGTAGGGGGAATTGTTATGTTAAAAAAAAAAGCATGTTGGTACCTACACATGATCATCATAAAGGTATTTTGTCTTTTTTTTGGCCTTTATCTTTATTCAGAATGACTGAAATACCTTATTATCCACTATTCATATATTGATAAATTGCCCACAGCATTTGTTAAACAGTCTAGGGATGTGTAGTAAACTTAGCTCAAGAATTAGATTATCAGATCCTGAAATAGCTTATCAGTTTACACATGTAGCTGTAAAACTGAAAGAAATTGTATACAATTCTAATTCAGATTTTTTTTCTATTATTTGGTAAAAGTCTTTCTTATTTATTTCAGAATAATTGCTGATCAATTTCAAACCAAAATAGTCTACAAAGGTAAGAACATTTTTGTTTAATTTTTTTACCAATTAAATGTTATTGCAGAAGTTTTTTTTTTTCCAAAACAGACAGAAAAAAGCTCTAACTTTACTATTTTAAGCTTGACTTTTTTAAAGAAAATTTTTGAACTATTGCTAGGGAACAGTCAGGTTGTTCATTGTTGCTGTTGCCATCCAGAAACTGAAAACATTGGCATTTTTTAAATTTCTCCATGGATTGTCTTCATACTTGGACACAACAACCCTTTGGAGAAAACCTTGAAGTAGACGAGACTGAACTTGACCTTGACGCATAAATGACCTTGACCTTTAAAGTCAAATGTTGCTTGATTTTGTAATTGGCAATAACTTTGTTATTTATGAATGTATTACATAACTGATATAAAGATTAATTCAAATGTAACCTTGACCTATGAATGACCTTGACCGTGAAGGTCAAATATCGATTTTGAAATTTATTTTTTAGAAAAAAAATTATGTTTTCTAGGAGTTCTCTTTACTATTATATTCTACCTCTGGTGTATTTGACTTTAAGTAAATAGAAAAAAGTGGTGGCTCTTGTTTATTTTCAAGCAAATTGCCAATTGATCTTATTTTATATTTCAGGAATACAGATGTTCTCTTAGCAATGCCAGTTACTAGATTCCATCCGTATCATGGACAGAACATCTGTCTTGACCATGATGACCAAGTTGCATATAGAACTACAAGCTTTGCTCATGCTCTCACATTCAGTGAAAAACCATTAAAACCGGGTGAAATATTCCTCGTGGAAATTGAGAAAAATGAGCGAGGCTGGAGTGGCCATTTACGTATAGGATTAACTCAATTTAACCCCGATGAAAAATTTGATTTACCACAATATGCACTTCCCGATCTGGCCAATATGGGTAGGTCGTGGATTTCAGCCATCACGAAATCCTATAACCGCGTTTATACACAAAACAATGACCAAGGCCACTCAGAACCTTATAAATCTGTGTTAGGGGATTCGGAGATAATTCATACACCTCAAGGATCATTTAACCGGAGTTTATTATTACCACTAAACAGATTGAACTCAGTTTATGCACATTTCCGTAGAGACCACGATCACGTTCTGCCGACTGATATTGGAAGTAGGATAGGGATCATGTATAAAATTGTTGACAATTTTGCTGAAATGCACTTCATTATAAATGGAGAAGATCAAGGACCTTGTGTAAAGACAATACCGTACCAATCTGGTCCCTTATATGCAGTAATAGACGTGTATGGCACAACAAAACAAGTGAGGATAATTCAGCTCTATGGAGGTATGACATCTTTCTTCTTCTTTACTACCACTTGCCCCTCACCGCTCTGGGTTCAAATCCCAATTTCTTATGTCTGGAAGCTATCCAGCTAGCTTACAGAACATACATGTAGGTGGTTCTACTTGTGTCCTTTTCATGCCTGAAATATTGCATGGAAGGGCACTTGAGGTCTTCCTCCAACAGTAAAGCTGGAACGTCGCTATATGACTTATTCTGTGTTGTTGTGACGTAAAACCCAATTAATCAATCAATCATTCTTTGTTACTACCAAGTGAGACCAGTATGATTTGTCAAGCTTTGAAGGAGTAGGAATGTACATGTGTATTCCATAATGTGGAGAATAATTACATATTTATTATTTTATTATTTTAGCAAATTTATATTGAATGAAGTTGAATGAACCCCACAATACATCTAAAAAGAATTCAATTTGTTTCATTTTCCAGGACACTTTCAATGCTTGAATTTTTTGATACTACAGATATTTTTTCACATAATTTTGTATTTTTTGAGGCTTTTATCATTGAAAAAGGTCATATTCTCTCATAATGTCCAAAGAAGGATATATTTGGATACCTCAGTGTCCAATACAGAATTTATATTGGACAGTCACATTGTACAATTTAAAAATTGCAGGTCGCTCAGTGGGTGTTAAAGTAAATGATTGGTGTCAATAAATATTTTCACAGAATTGTTGCAATTTTGTATAAACATTCATCATTACTTAGGGAAATTTGTTACATGTTATATGGAAATATTTTATTTCCTATACATCAGTATTATCATCAATTCATGAGGGAATTTGTTATAAAAATGTTAAATTCCCGCCACAATATTTTATTTAATATTTCAGTATGTAATGAAAGTGGCAATATTTTATTTCCTGTTAATGAATTTGTTATGAAAATGAAAATATTTTATTTCTATTTCAGTAACATCAATATGGACTATTATAAAAATGGCAATATTTATTTCCTATTACAGTGTCCTTATTAGTGAACTTGTTTTAAATAAAAAATGGCAATATTTTATTTCAGATTTTAGTATCATTATTATGGACTTTATAGTAAAAATGGCAATATTTTTTTTCTTATTTCAGTTTCATCATTACAGAATGTATGTAGGGACATGATTCTTCAAACAATCAAAAAATCACAAGTGCACTACCTTCCTTTACCCAACAAAATCAAGAAGTTTCTACGATACGAATGTCAGCTGTGATAGATGTTACATTCTTCAACCTAGACCACATCTCCTGATTGTACAAGAAACCTAATCCAGTTCTCTCCCTTTAATACATGATACAGACCTGCAGTTACTTCCCTTTTATATGTATGAAAAAGAATTCAGTGAATATTTCTTTTTGAATCGTGATAAAGAACTCTGCACTTATTGCCATTTAAGACACAATATGGTTTTGAAGTGAATTATTTCCCTTAAGAACCTAACATTTCAAGAATTTCCCTATATGAGATGTTTCTGAACTATGCAGTTGTCCCCCTTAATTATCTGATTTTCAGAATTGTATGTTTACCAAATTGCTGATCTTATTTGATTTTTATGAAGTTATACACAAATTTTCTTTTATGATACTACATGGTGTGACATACATGTGTATTTTTGAATGATAAGTTTCACAAAATATAATATTTGAAAAAAAAAGTGTATTTGTTTCAAGAATTTCAGAATGATGCGAAAATTTAATTCACATATACTGTACTTGAAATAATTCAAATAAAATGTTGACCAAACACAAGCTTTAGTATACTTGAACTATGTTTTTAAGTGAGTCTTTAAGACTCACAATGGCACAATGATTTTGTCATAGATTTTTGTAATTTTCATATATACTGTTAAGGAGTAAAACTTTCATGTTCAAAATATTATTTCATGTAAAATGCAGACTTAAATCATTATTCATTTAATGACAATGTTGCTAAATGTATGGAAAAATGTTTTGTTTGGTTATCTGAGTAATAAGAGCTTCTATAAAGGTTGTTTTTTGTTTATAAGTTCTACTGTATTTTGTTGTTACATGTACATGAATTACTAAGTGCTTTTTAACTTGACTAATCCGACAATAAAAGGGCTATAATACTCACTAAGTTAATGTTTTGCACCTTTCATTTTTTTTTTAACAAGTACAGTAGCTGTAAAGGTTTTTCAGGTGCCTGCATAGCTCAATTTGGAGAGAATTCAATAAAATTATAATCCAGGGGTCCCTGGTTCAATCCTCAAGACGAGGCAAAATTTCCCTGTGGACAGTTGTGGCGTTAAGCATAATGATCCCTCCTCTCTCATTCATCTTTCACTGCCCAGGTTTTTTTTCCAGGAATTTGGGAACATGACCTTTCCCTATAGAATTGGGAATTGCAGTGATGTTTTGTTAAAAATTTGGAAAAAATGCATATTAACTTAAATTTTGCAGTGATTAAATGAATTCAAAGAATCAATGTCTAGGATGGCATCTTCAAACATTTAAGCACCATAACAGAGAAGAAGCCCTTATTTTCAAAGATTTTAGAATTTCTTATTCATTATTTTTACATTGTAATTTTCAATTGTTTAATTTGGGAATTTGACTGAATATAGGCAATAAAATAAGCAAAAAAAACAAACAAACCCCAAAACATCCCTGCTGCTGATTCAGAGATGTAGATTAGTAGTTGGTCACTTGTATAGTAATTGTTAATACCTGGTAACACGTAGTTGGCTCTTAGATATACATGTAACCAAAAAAATGTGTTAAAATAGGTGTGTAAAAACAACTTGAATCTTCACACAAAATTTAAATTTAACTCACTGTGTAAGGCACACAACTTTAGCATTGAGTTTCACTGAGTTACTCCCCCTGTGTAAACTCGCAGATATTTCTGTCTTAAACTCTTTTTCATATTCTTGTTTCACTATCCTAATATTGAGAATAGTCAAGCTACATTGTAACTGGCAGCTCTTGTTTATTTTCATGAACTATTGATATGTTTTGTAGATAAATAATGAAATTCTGATTGTAAGTTTGTAATATTTGTACTTCATGTACCATAATAATATAATTTTTTCATCTTTTTCGAAGAGGGACTACACTAAACCTTTATTGTTTTGTTTTTTGTCATAGAAGATTTTGAGACTAAAAGAAATGCTTTAACATATTATTACATGTATGTTGCAAAGAAATCCCTGAATAGTAAGTAACTCGAGGTATTTCTGATTCCATTTGGAAAATTTCTTACAAGGTGTTGGAAATTACAGTCGGATATACAGTGTTACCTCTGTTGAGTGACCACCTGTAGAACATTAACCTCTATACAACAATAGAATAAAAAATTTGCAATGAGGAACATCATGTGGTTCTACTCAGGTGCCCGTTTGTACCTGAAATAACGCATGTAAGGGCACCTGAGGTCTTCCTCAACCAGTAAAAGCTGGAATGTCGCCATATGACCGATACTGAGTCTGTGTTACGTAAAAACGAGAAAAAAAGAAAGCAAAGAAAAAAAGAACAAATATTTGCAAACATAGTTTAAACGCTGAATTTAACCTGCCAAACTAAGGTTTTATCAGAGGATAACCACTCTTACAATGTAGAAGGAACATTTTTTGGCAATAAGCAAAATCTTTGCTTTCCGAATGGTGTTGGTCTATGGAGGTTTTACTGTATATCTAGAAGCTTTTGTGCAGTATTAGAAAAATGCCTGCAAGACTACTTAAATTGTTACTTACTTTAAATAATGTCAATATCTAAACAAAAAAATTGTTACATTTATGATTAGAAAATAGTCTGGCTATCCTACTGTCCCTGTTATCAGTGTTAGCATATTACAATTGATTAAGGTTTTACTTTGCATGTGTTTGCAACTTTTTACTTTATTTATTTTTCAGAAATTATTAAAGGTGTTCACATTGTATGTGTCCAAGATCTTAATTGTTGGTTACTTAGGCAAGACCCACAACTCTGGCATAAATTTTTACTGGTTTATTCTTCTTAATGAACTACTTACAGAAGCTCCCATTGTTTGACAAACAAGCACAGGGAATAGTCATTAGTCAAGCAGTCTGCTCAACAATTTTGATTTTTTTTAAACACATTGTTTTCTTCTTCAAACTGTCAGTTTAATGCTAGCGTATTCCTAACCCTGAACCTGCTGAATTTCTTAAATAGACATGTCCAGGTTTCATTGATTGAACTGTCCTTTTTCAACTTTGTGTACAGTATATTAATTTAAAGTGAATATTTGTTAGTCACACCATAGAATATAAACCCTAGTTAGACTGCATGGATGTGCAGGCTGACATGGCTTCATACTGGTGGTAAATGATTCTTTATTTCAGTTCCAGTAGGGAAAGGTTTCAACTGTGGTCTGTGTGTATTTTTAAACTGTTTAGTTACTGTGTTTTACATGGGAGTCTGAAAAAAAAACCTCATAGTCATTAAAGCTAGAGAAATGAGACACAGGGATAATTAGTGGCTAAGATGGTTCTTTCTCAACACAGGGGTCATAAGTTTGAGTGGTACTCTCAATGACACCAATGACTTTCTTTTATGACACCAAAACTAGGTATGCTCGGGTTTCAAATGAAGAATACTTTAGATTACAAATACTTTGAATTAAAAATACTCGAAATTATGCATACTTTAAATAAGCTTATGGCATTAATGTCATACTGATTATTAAAGGTAAAAAAAAAGTTTGAACTAAATGTACAAGAAATGTTATATCAAACATTTAATGTCAACTGTGTAACAAAGTTCAGGTTAACTAAACCTTTCTGCTTATACTTGGGACTTGAAGAAACTAGATATTATTATGCTCTTTTGGGAAGGGCATTTGTATGAAGGGTAGGGCCTAAAAATATTAATATCACTTGTAACGGTATATACTGCTTAGTTATGCCGTGGTCCTGATTCTTGTATTCAAGATGGTTATTTCTCAGATATAGTGATTAAGTCAGATGTAACAATACAGATTTGGCAGTTCCCTGAATATCATTATAAGCAAAGTTTTACAGTTGTTTAACTGTTAATGGGCGTGACACAAAGGAATACACTTACGGTTGACAGGTTTACATGTACATGAAGAAGACATGTCTATTTTTTTTTAAAAAGACTTCTTCTTTAGAGAAATGGCCTTACATGGAGTTAGCCATTTTAAGGGCAGGACCTTATGCAGAAACAGCACCTTACATGAAAAGGACTTCTGTACTGGAATGACCTAGCATAGTGTCAGACATTTTAAAGGTAGGGCCTTTCTGATTGTTTTTAAGTGAAAGGGCCTTTAATTAGCCTGAAAGGCTATGATGATCTGGACTACATGTATGAATATATGCAATTAAGATCAAAAGTTTATCTAAATAAGTATATGTGAATGTCAACCCTGTGAAAGTGTGCTGATTATAAACTTGTTTTCTGACCTTGACTGATATAATTGTAATAAATACATTTGTAATTGTGACATTTTATTATGAAATTACCCTAAATCTGCTGGAACCAAGTGATTATATTTTACCACTAGTATAGAGCCAGGCCAACCTGACCTTCAGTGCAGTCTGACCAGGTTTTTATTCTGTTTGTAAGCACAATTTGTGTTTTTAGCTCGACTATTCGAACAATATGAGAGCTATTGTAGTCGCCCCGGCGTCGGCGTCCGCGTCGGCGTCTGCGTTGGTTAAAGTTTTTTGTAAAGTCAACTATCTCAATAATTACTTGAGATATTCAATTGAAACTTACAATACTTATTTATAGTAACAAGGTACATCAGATTGACAAGTTGGATAACTCTGCCTACAATATTGACAGAATTATGCCCCTTTTTAACTTAGAAATTTTGGTTAAAGTTTTTTGTAAAGTCAAATATCTCAATAATTACTTGAGATATTCAATTGAAACTTACGATACTTATTTATAGTAACAAGGTACATCAGATTGACAAGTGAGATAACTCTGTCTACAATATTGACAGAATTATGCCCCTTTTTAACTTAGAAATTTTGGTTAAAGTTTTTTGTAAAGTCAAATATCTCAATAATTACTTGAGATATTCAATTGAAACTTACGATACTTATTTATAGTAACAAGGTACATCAGATTGACAAGTGAGATAACTCTGTCTACAATATTGACAGAATTATGCCCCTTTTTAACTTAGAAATTTTGGTTAAAGTTTTTTGTAAAGTCAAATATCTCAACTATTGCTTGAGATATTCAATTGAAACTTACAATACTTATTTATAGTAACAAGGTACATCAGATTGACAAGTTGGATAACTCTGCCTACAATATTGACAGAATTATGCCCCTTTGGAACTTAGAAATTTTGGTTAAAGTTCTTTTGTAAAGTCAAATATCTCAATTATTGCTTGAGATATTCAATTGAAATTTAAAATACTTTTTTATAGTAACAATGTACATCAGTTTGCAAAATTGCATAACTCTGCCTGCAAAATTTGAAGAATTATTTGCCCCTTTGAAACTTAGAAATTTTGGTTAAAGGTTAAAGGTCTTCAAAGATATTTACTTGAAACTTTACACATGCACTTAGGGTCATAATTGGAGGGTCATAATTGTATGTCACTGACCAAGTTTCATAACTCTATCTTGCATTAAGGCTGATTCATATCCCCTTTTCTACTTAGTCTCTTGGTTAATGTTAACATGCAAGTTTTACATATCTCAATAACTATTAAAGATATTTATTTAAAACTTCACATATGCATTTAGGGTCATAATTGTAGGTCACTGACAAAGATCCATAATTCTATCTTGCATTTAGGCTGATTTTTCTCCCTTTTTCAACTTAGAAATTCATGGTAAAGTTTTGCTTGTAAGCTGTTATCTCAATTACTACTGAAGGGTTTGTGCCTTTTTTGGGACAATTTTATGCATTCATAATAATAAAGCAGTGATTTACTTGATAAAACATCTTAATTAGAATCCCTTTGTACCTTTTCTGTCAATTTTTTGTATTCATAGGTAATTAGTATTATTATACTCAATAAAACAACCTTGTGACATTACCTTCCGAATAGTCAAGCCAATACTGTATAATTAGACTCTCTCTAAGGCCTATAACATGAATTTATTAAAAAAAAATTAGACCTTTTGTGATCTTAAAAAATTTAACATTATCAAGGCTCTTTTACTATCAAGCACTTAGAATAGTCGAGCGTGCTGTCCTTCTGACAGCTCTTGTTTGTTTATAAAATACCTTAGAATTATAATGGATTGTTTTAAATTAAAAAGCAGGGCAAATCCATTACATAAATTCTGGTGATTGAGGGTTAATAAGCATATCAACATTTTCGGGAGTTCAAATTTTTATGAAATATTCCCTTTTTTGTTTGTTTTCACTTCCTTTGGTTAAGAAAGAGTGGTTTTTTCACAGAATGTTTATATGAACAGATGTTAAAATTATGATGTTTTAAAAACATTTTTCTAAAATGTGTGTATAATGATACTTAAAACATTCTAACATTGTGTTAGTGGTAAAACATTCTAACATTGTGTTAGTGGTATGTGTAAATCAAATGTACAGAAAATAAGTCTAAATTTTTTTGTGGTCTGAAAGAGAGAGAGAGAGGTCTTAAAAACGTTTTGTAATCTGTGATACCTAACTAAGAATGTGCATGTGTTTTACATGTTGGTATTTAGACATTGAAAAATGGCAATAAGTTTTTCATTATTTTTCAACAAGATTTTTTTTTTATATACACAGTATGTTTTGTTGAATACATATCTTGATTGATATTTTATAGTTTGTTGTAAGGTCAAATTTCAATTAAAGTCAAACATAGTCAGATTCCATTCTCAGCTGCTTTAAAGGGACTCCACCGAGGTTTTTTGACTTGGCTATAATTTTGCAAGATTAATGTTCTATTTGATGTTGTTCTAGACTAAGAACTTAGGTCCAAAGTTTTAGAACATTGAATTTCACTCTCTCCGTTTTTCCAGAATAATTATTCAAATTGTGAAAACTGACTCAAATCCGGCTAAGAATAGCACAAATAAACAATTTTAAATTTATTTCTGAGTATATTTCTTAATAATCGTTTGCATATTGTCACCTTAGTGCAATAACTGGTTATCTTCTATGAAATTTAGACAGACTTAACCTGTTACTGCACTAAAGTGACGATATGTTTCTGTTTTAAATGCCCCAGTTGATCTATGTAAGAAATTCAGATTTTATGTTTTAGACCGTCAGACCTCAGTGGAGTCCCTTTAATGTTCAAATTGTAAGATGGATAAGTCCCTTTAAGATAATTAGCAATTTATCTTGAATTTCTCTTTTCTTTTTCAACAATTATTTATTTTCCAAAAGAAGTTTTAATGCAATCAGATTTAATTATACTTTTTTCAAGTTTCTAAAAATGCTTAAAAAATGATTTTAAAAATCACTATAAAATTCTGTAAATAGATATGTTGTAAGAAAATATTGATATTACTCAGTGTGAATGACTACACTGAATGAAATAGGCAATTGTCTAATTTTAGACATTCGTAATGTTATACCAGATAACCATTTTAAAAACCAATATTGAATTTCTTATGGTTATTTACTTGTAACAAAGTTGAAGGACATTCAAACAAAAAAATGAAAATAATATTCTTTGTATATATATATATATAGAAAGAAACATTTTTTTTTACAAATAAAAAGTTGGATTTGTGCCAGGTAACAAAAAAAGTCCCCACACTTCAATTTTAGCTTTATCTTGGATTCAAGCCCACAATGATTTTTTTCTACTGTTGATAAATGTTAATATAGTGATGTGTAAGGAATAAGAATTGATAAAAGATATTTTTGAATCTCTTAAAATGTCAATACAGAAACACTTTAAATTTGGCTTACATAAGTTCTGAGGGTATCTATGTTATAATAGAACAGGATTGTGCAGTTGGAAATCTTTTGTTATGAATTTATTATAAAAGAATATACAGAATAAAGAGGGAAGATGTCAGTTGATTTGTTTGTTGTACTTTCACTGAGTTATTCCACCTCTCTCTCAGCATTTGAAACAGAAGCAGCATTTCATTGCTATTTCTGTCTTAGGATTTGAACCAGAAGTTGTATGTTTTAATTTAACTCTCCCTCAGGATTTTAACCTAAAGTTGTATGTCATAGTTTAACTCTCCCTCAGGATATAAACCTCAAGCAGCATGTCTTAATTTAACTTTCCCTCATGATTTAAACCTCAAGCAGACATGTCTTAGTTAAACTGTCCCTCATGATTTAAACCTCTAGCAGCATGTCTTAATTTCAACTCTCCCTCATGATTAAAACCTCAAGCAGCATGTCTTAATTTAACCCTCCCTCATGATTTAATTCTCAAGCAGACATGTCTTAATTTTACTCTCCCTCATGATTTAAACCTCAAGCAGCATGTCTTAATTTAACTCTCCCTCATGATTTAAACCTCAAGCAGCATGTCTTAATTTAACTCTCCCTCATGATTTAAACCTCAAGCAGCATGTGTTAGTTAAACTGTCCAACATGATTTAAACCTCAAGCTGACATGTCTTAGTTTAACTGTCCCTCATGATTTAAACCTCAAGCAGCATGTCTTAATTTAACTCTCCCTCATGATTTTAACCAGAATCAGCATGGCCTAGATCAACTCTCCCTCATGATTTGAACTAGAATCAGCGTGTCTTAATTTAACTCTCCCTCATGATTTAAACTTCAATTTAACTACATAATTTATTGCAAGTGTGAATTATTGTAAGAAATGAAGTATTGCATGTAATGAAGAAGAATATTGTAAGTGATGAGGCAATGCAAGTGTAGACT